CCTCATGAAATCCCTCCGGATGCCCTGGTCCATGGGCTGAATCAGGGAGGTGACGCCGGCGGGCAGGAAGATGGTGAAAACGTTCTCTGACACCAGCTCGGACTCCCGCGGGTGGGCCCGGGAGCTGTCCAGCAGGAGGATGGCTTTGCTGTCTTCAGGCAAAGCCAGGGATCGGAAATGCTCCTTCACCGCGGGGACAAAGATGTGATGGAACCAATCAGAGAAAATCTCCTTGTCCACCCAGGCATTGCCCTGGGCCTTGTACGCTGCGGGCAGATGCTGGATGCCCTTGAAGGCCCTGGGGCCGCTGCACTTCCCCACCACCAAGGGCTTGATCCTGTGGGAGCCCGTGGCGTTGGCGCACATGAGGACGGTCAGCCTGTCCTTGTTCTGCCTGAGGCCGGGCCCCGCTCCACCCTCCATGCCAGGACCGGGCAGGCAGCGCCAGAAAAGGCCGGTCTCGTCGGCATTGTACACCTGCTCGGGGGACAGACCGTGCTCGGCAGTCAAGCTCCGGAAGAAGCCACAGAACTGCTCGGCTGCCTGGTGGTCGGCCGCCTGCTTCTCGCTGGATGCATCCAGCTTCTTGATGCCATGTCTGGCCTTAAAACGCCAGAGCCACCCGCCAGAAAACACGCAGGGCTCGGTCAGCTGCATCTGCTCGTAGAAGTCCTTGGCCTTCTCGATGAGCATGGGGCCCGAGACAGGCACGCCCTCGGCACGCTTCACCAGGAACCACTCGTACAGCACGCGGTCCAGGTGCTCAAGCTTGGGCGTGTGCAGCGTGCGCCGGTGCGCCAGGGCCTTGTCCGAGTCCGAGCTGGCGAAGAAGCGGAGCAGCTGGGCCTTGTGGGCCCGGATGTCGTACAGCGTGGACATGCCCACATTGTACTCCTGCATCAGCGCCCGCCTGCTCTCGCCCTCCTCTAGGCGCCGGCAGATGTCCATCTTCTCCTTCAGGGTCAGCACCACCCGCTTGCGCTTCTCCCCGGGGCTCCTCCCGGCAGCCGGCTTGGAGGCCATGAGGAGGGGGCTCGTCCCGGCCAACCTGACGCTGGCCGCCTTCCCGCCCCTTCCTCTCGCCACCCGTGACCACCCGTCTTGCTGATGCGGGGCCCCAAGCCGCCGTCCCTCCCTCCAGCTCCAGCAGCCTCAGCCTCGGAGGGCCCAGGTCTTCCAGGCTCCTGCACTTCCCCACGGCTGGAATCTCAGGCCTTCTCTGCAGGGACGGCAGCAGCTTCTCCCCTCACACACGGACCAGAGAGGAGAGGGGCCCCGGGAGCTGTTTTCCAGCTAAATGATGTTTCACCGTCTGAGCTGCGGGTGCCTCTCTCACACGCATGGCACTTTAGAAACTGGAAATCAGAAGGGGGGAGAGAAAGATGTTATGGACTCATGTCCAGGAGCCTGTAAGCGCATCCTCATTACCCTCAGACACGCTGGGAGGAGGCAGGAGACGAAGAGTTGTAAGGATGATTAATGTGAGAGCTGGCCAGCAGGCGACGCAGGGAAGAGGCAGCCCAGATAGCTGGGCACTGGCTCTTCCCAGCCTCTACAAGTGACCTCTGTGTCACCTGCTATGTTTCCAAATTAAAAGCGGCTCTTGCAGGAACAACCTGGCCTTCTCGGGAAAATGCTGGGAGAGGCCAGCAAACGAAGCCAGGAAGTCTCAGGTGCTAGGCGACCTCAGAGCCACTTCCTACCTCCAGGATCAACTTTCCTGCTGTAACTGCTCATGGGGCCCCTAGACCTAACCACCTTCACAAACCCCTTGCTCCTTCCAGAGCAGCCAAGGCAGGGGATGGAGGTGCTACAGGCGGCAGGGATTCCTCCAGACTTCCAGGGCTGAGGACCCTGCAAACCCTTCTGAAACGAGGCCCCTCAAACCTTCTACTCAACAGCAGGCCCCAAACTGCTTCTAGAAAACCAGGAGTTGGTGGGCCTCGGGCTCCTGCCTCAGCTGGGAGGGATGGCCAGTCTCTCAACTAACTGGTCCTCACAGCCACATGCTCGACACCCTGGACACACAGTCACATGTGAGCGTGCAAACTCACCCTCACACACACCTATGCACACAGGTCCGCAGAGGACCCAGGAAATGGCCAGGCCATGTGGGGCTTCCTAAGTACTTGCTAATCTGGAATGCTCTAGGAATAAATCACTAATTCATGCCGGAATCAGAAATATGAGAAGTGTCTTCTGGCCCCGCTGGGAGCAGGGTGGTCCTCCCACACCAGGTACGTCCTTGTAAGGGTTCAAGCTTACTTGCACATCTTGCTGAAAGCCAGTAAGGGAACGTGAAGGAAAGTGCCTTATGTGAGCCCCACAGCTCTGCTCCCACATGTCTTTTGTCACCTTCTCATCCTTCATCCTCATAAAGACCTGCGTTGTCATGGTCCCTTCCAGCGGGGCAATACCATTCCTTTCTGAAAACTTCCCCAAACGCCCCACACCCCTCCCCGCTCCGCAGAGCAGACTGCAGGACAGCAGGTGGTCCTCGCTGCCCTGGGCAGCCTGGGAGAGCCAAGCCCACCACACTCTGCCTGGTAAAAGGCCAGCGTGCTCCGTCCCCGAGGAGCAAAGAGCTGGTGTCTGGACACTGCAGCGTGCCTGCCACAGCAGCCCTGCTTCTCCCTCACGGCCAGCCATGTGCCTCACTGCCCTCTCACCGGAGGGGCTGCCGGTCACTGGGGCAGCAGCCAAGGGCCGCTTACCGGGCCTGTCACCACATCCCACAGCAGTCAGACAGGCAGTACTCACAGACGCATGTCTAGCAGCGACTCCCCACCCCTCCTCCCTCCCAAACCCTTACACTGGCGCTTTGTCCAACTGCCTGCTGTTGGCCACAGAACCACTCACGGGTGGAGCATAAAAAGGTAGCCCTTTGAGACCACAGTGCAACAAAAATGAACAGTTTATTCAAATATGGCAAGAGTCCCAAAGATAAGTCCTAGGCTGTCTGTCACCAGCCAGCTCCAGGAGCACCCTGCCGCCCTTCTGAGTCAGCCTGCTGGGCTGCAAAGTGAGGGTGCCAGTCCTCCAGGGACTGGTTTTCATCCTATTTACTGCATGACAATGTGACTGTGCACTATGTGGTCCTGTGGGAAGCAGAGGGAAAGGTCAAAATCCACCCTTAAGGAAGCATTTAATATGAAGCCACTGTAAAAACCAGGAGGAAACATGGACCCCCAGTGACTTGTGAAGGATTGACCCTAAGCACAATGGGAAGGAGGAGGAAGGGCCAGAAGAGGCACCGGAAGAGGCCCAGCGCCAGAAATGGAGATATGCTCTCGATGGGGACAGGTAAGGGTGCACAGCGTGATAAAGGGGAGCTGAAGACACCCAGGTCGCACCAGCGAGACCAAAACTTCCTGTAAAAGTGAAATTCAAATACTACCTCGGACACAATTTCTTGAACCAAAAGGTAACAACATGGCAAGAAAAATGAAGGCCGTTTCTAGCGTTGCCACGGATATCCTCTTGTGCCCTAGGGGGAGGGCAGAAGGAGCGGAGCGGCGGCAGGAGCGGAGAGCAGCGCGCCCCCCGCATTCTGCCCCTTTCTGCGTGCGGGGAGGTGCACTTCCTTAGAGAAGAGTCTGAGGAATTTAGAGAGAGGATGCGAGAAACTAGCACGCAAGGGAGCAGAGGGGGCATCGAGAGAAATACTCAAGAAACAAGCACCGTGGCTAGAGGAAGAGGTAGGTTGAGTCCTGAGGAGCAAGACGGACTGGGGTGGGGGTCCTCTGCTCAGCAGTGGAAACTTGGGGGCGCGCACCCCGCAGGGAGCGCCCTGGGAGCCAAGAGGCGTCCTCTAGGGGAGGCCGGTAGTTGCCAGCACAGACCCCTCCTTCGTGGGCACCCGAAGCAGGGAGGCGCCTCGGTTGCTGGAGACGCCTGGCGTTTCTATGCCGGGGACCACGTTTGTGACAGGAGGGCAAACACCGAAAGCCAAGAGAGAAGCGAAGCCTCAGGCCGGCTCCTTCCGGAGGAAGGGCCCTCGGGGGCCGGTCCTTCCTCGGGCGGAAGCCCGGAGGCTGGACCCGGCGCCGCGGCCAGGCTCGGGGGCGAGGCTGCGGAGGGACGAGCTCGGCTACGCGGAGCCCCCGGGACAA